TTAGATTTAAAAAAGACAGCCTGATAAATTGTTGTATGTATTATTTATTTATTTTTTTTTTCATTCTGAATAAAAATTGAATAAAAATAAAAATCTGTGTTCTTGTTTTCAATAAAACCAGTTTGAACCGGTTATAGGGCTGTCTAGACTGTGAAGCGTGACGTCATAATGACATTCTTGAAATGCTTTGCACACGGCGCATTTACCTGTGCAGCTAGCATAAACAAAACGTAGTACCCACGTACCAATGTAAAAAAAACACAATGTAAACACCCTGTATTTAGGGGATAGGATAGGTTAGGGTTAAAAAAGGGGTTAGGGTTAGTTAGGGATAAGGTGGATAGGGTTAGTTAGGGCTAGGGGGTAGGGTTAGTTAGGGCTAGGGGGTTAGAGTTAGTTAGGGTTAGGGGGTTAGGGTTAGTTAGGGCTAGGGGGTTAGGGTTAGTTAGGGCTAGGGGGTTAGGGTTAGTTAGGGTTAGGGGATAAGGGGTTAGGGTTAGGGTTAGTTAGGGCTAAGGGGGATAGGGTTAGTTAGGGCTAGGGTTAGTTAGGGTTAGGGTTAGTTAGGGTTAGTTAGGGCTAGGGGGTTAGGGTTAGAGGGGTTAGGGTTAGGACTGCACTCAGTTGACCCACCTATCCCCTCAACCAATCAAAACTGATCACGTGATTTCTCTCAGCCAATCAGAATGCGGTCCTAGCGGGGCTCCTTATACTACTGCGGATCTAGTAGGGGTCGAAGGGGGGGGGGTACTTTACGAAGGGCGGTCTGGACAATAAGGAGTTATGGTCTAAAATTAAATTTCAAAAATCCAGAAACTTAAAGGAAAATTCTTCAAAATACTTAATGCTGCGAAAAATAAAATTAATACGGTTTTAATACGCAGGTATTATAGCCATATCATACATCCAGGGGGATGCCCGTTCGTAATTTGTCGATTGATAAAGCTTCTTCTTACAAACATGTATCTTAAAAATCTTCATATAATTCTCACGGGTGATAGTAGACTGGAGCCCCCCCCCCCCCCCCCCCTTCATTGTAAAAGTTCAAAGGCTTCTCGAGATATTGCTCGAAACAATAGTGTAACAGACGGACAGAATTATAAGACGAACGGGCAGACCGAAATTAATATCCCCAACCTTCGGGGGGGGGGGGGGGGCGTAAAAGTGGAAGTTTAGTGAATTGTGTTTTTGACATAGATTAAGATACTAGTATATGAGAGCAAGTTCTTTATTAGCATGCCATTCATAGGACCTATGTCCCCCCCCCCCAACCCCTGGACTATATATAAATTCGGGTCGAAAGATATTTTTTTGACTTTCTTTCATTAATAACATTTACAACTTACAACATACAAAATTGATACCTGCAGTTAAAAAGTCAGAGGTTAAGATACTACGGGCATGATTTTGAAAAAAAAAAAACGAATTCTATGCACTTTTTGAATTTTTCATATGAAATACATGTACATTGTAAATATGTACTAGACGGTTAATTTCTGAAAAAAGACAAATATGAATATCTTGGGACCCGGTATGTATTTTGGGGGTGGGGATGGGGAATTTGTTTGGTCTACAAGCATATGTGTGCACATACTTTTGAAGGATGCCATGACAACTAAGTGACAACTAGGTTTTCATATTATTCACACTTTTAAAAGTCCATATATATTATTGTCGGTATTCTGGAATCAATCTTTTTTTTTTTTTTTTTTTTTTTTTTTGGTTTTACAAAAGGATAGTGATTATATATTTTTCCTTACAAATGAAACAAGTTATAATTTCGCTCATAGTTTTTATATGTGTATTGGACTTCGGTCAAAATAACACTGTGTGGTCAAAAGTACATAGTGTATCTTCTAATTTTATATTTTGACGAATAATGCATGGTTAACAAACAATGACATTGTGGAGCATAATGTTAAGACAAAGAAAAGAACTTTACTAACAAAAATACACCACCTTACATAAATACATATTTTCAGCCTTTTTTATGATGCACACATATAAACAGATATACATGTGCACACGGTCGTATATAGGAACGGGGTTGAGGAGCTGGGGATCAGCCCCCCCCCCCCCCTCCCCCATAATGAAGTCGATAAATAAACAATGTAATATTATAGAAAATGTAGCTACTGTATACTTGTGGCCTCTCATTAAAAACAATCTGGTAGTGACTCTAAACTTTTGGTTGTGCCCCCCCCCCCCCTCAATCTGAAATTGCTAGCTTCAGGTCTCTACAAATTTATAAAATAAAAGCAGCCCAAGATAATTTAGTTAAGATCGCCATTTAATACATCATCTAAGAAGATACTTTACATGTGTATCATGAATGCTCGTTCATTTCTTTGAAGTGATTTTTAATAAATTTAAAAAAGAATCTCTCTCTCTCTCTCTCTCTCTCTCTCTCTCTCTCTCTTTCTCTCTCTCTCTCAATACAAGACACTTTATAAAGCGCACAACCTATTTACTTGATTGCACGGATTTTTTTTTTTTCAAGCTGTAAAAAGTAACCTTTCTTTATATGAACAAGGCGCACACTACGAGTAGTTTGTATACGTTTAATCACTGACGCGTGACAAACATGTTTCCTGATCCGTCTAAAGTTCTTCTATTTGTTCGCTTTTTTAAAACATTGTAAGTGATTACAAAAATTTTGACATGAGCAATTTTCAAATACAAAATGGTTAAAACACTATCCGTTCTATTTTACACATATACTTATTTCTTCCGATTTTAGACTTTATATGGGTACAATTACTGGTCCCGAGAAAACTATCGAGATACGGGAAGTTAGGGAGAGTTACGTTCGTTCGTAAGATGTCGGTGTTTCTCTACTAGTAAGTCTTGATAAAAAAGTGATAGTTAGTAGGTTTTTGAGCAAGCACTTTTATGGTGAAGAATGTAATCCAGTGCCTTGGTATCAATCATATTTAAAACAAATCTTAAATTGTGATCAAATCATTCCAGAAAGAATATTTTTAAAGAGAAAAAAAACGTACCTCTAGAATTACGTTTCAATTCTGTGAAAATTTGCTCCAACTCTTGCTCCTCCATATTGTTGGAGACTTCAAACGTTTGTAATATCCTATACAACGACTCGTTTTGCGATTTAGAAATTGCGAACGCCAAATCCCTATATTGATCTCGTTTGTCATAGATAACAGCAAATTGGTTCCATGAAAATACGGAAATGATGTGAAACAGGACATCAGCTGTTAGAGGTAAAATGAAAATATGAAATATAATGGATAAATAAAATAAAGCAATCCTTGACGAATCATCGTAACACTTCCTTTACGAAAGTCTCATGCATGTTTTTATACAATAAAATATTTTATTCTAACGGGAGGGTAATTTTTCTTACAGAGTTTTAGGAAGGGATTTATAGGGGTAAATACACAGAAAAAAATGTAATGTCGTTTGCAATAATAATGATAATCAGTTATAATTTAATGAAAAATACGCTTGATCAGGTGAACATTTCATCAAGTCGAACATTGACCTTAGTAATTTAACACAGTAATTATGCTTCGCATCAGAGATTGGTCAAAACTATATTTTATTAAAACTTTTGGTTTCGATTTACGTTAATAATTTTTCTTTTGAACAAATCAAATTTACAACATGGAGCAATTTATATTGCAAACAAATGCTTTTTTTCACTCACATATTGACCTCCAAAAATTAGGGAAAAAAACATATACTGTAGAAGCACGATTTTTTCGTGGGGATAAAATTTCACTCATTTGTGATCAAAAATAGTTCCGTGGGCATTTAATTCGTTTTGAAAGAAACCCTATTCAATATGTACATAAATCCACAACAAATGTTGCTGTATTGTCCGAATTGGGAAGGTTTCCCTTGCACATATTAAAAAGCATGCTAAGTTACTGGCACAGACTAGAAAATCTTGGCCAATCATTTACTTTATTGCATAATGCATTCTATGAATCGAATTTACTTTTTAAACAAAACATATCTTCATGGTATGGCTCAATCAACTTGTTTATTTCTAATATCATGGGAATTAAATAATTGTCTTCAGTAAATTGTATCAGTAAAAACATATAAAATTAAAGCTGTCATTAGAAACTGTTTGTTTAAACACTAGATTAAAGAATGGCGTGTTCATCTCGGACTTAACTCTTACAAAAAGTTAAGAAACTACTGCATCTTTAAACAAACTTTTGGCTTTGAGAATTATTTAAGATCAATTAAAAACTTTGAACATAGAAGAAATTTAATTCGCTTTCGAATATCAGCCCATAGACTCCAAATTGAAAAGGGGCGATATCAAAACATCGCTCGACATGAAAGGTTTTGTCAGAGATGTAACAACAATTTAGTTGATGATGAAAAACATTTTTATTCATATGTAGTCATGTAAAGGAAGAAAAGGCTATTTTGTATAAGATAATAGAAAAATATTGTAAGAATTTTGATAAGATGGACAATGACCAAAAAATAATAATATGGTTAATGACCAATGAAAATGTTGAAATTCTTACTCAAATTTGTAAAATGATTAAGAACAATGGAATCTGATTTCTGAAGAAGTGTACCTTAAATATATGCATTACATTTTAAGTTATATACTAGGATCCTCTATACCCCCAAGCTGTCCTGGCTACTTGGGGTACAAGACTGACAATCTGTATTGTCATACTGTTCAATAGGCACCGTCCTTTGGTGCCCCAGGTAGTCAGGCCAACAAATTAAGTTTTCCACCTACAAGCTGTCCTGGTTGCTAGAGGTACAAGACCGAGCAGCCTGGTTTTTTTCATTTTTTCCAGACTGCTCAATAGGCATCGCCCCTTGGTACCTCATGCTACCAGGCCAGCAAAATATATATACTTTTTGTAATAATATGATTATTATTGATAATAATTTGAGTACATGTATTTGCTATTATCCGCCTGGTCAATGCAATATAAATGAGCTTAGTATTTTATTATTATTATTATATATTATATGTAATGCTATTTTTTCATTGTGAACTACCCTGTAAATCAGTATTTCAAATCTGAGAACTTTTTCAATTGAGGATCATGTCAATTTTGCACTGTTATAATAATGATTATATATTGTTTGTTTCTTAATTGTATATGCCCCCCAGAGGGCCCTTGATTGGTGAATAAATATATAAATATAGTCATATGAAATTTCCTGTGTGATTTAATTTCAATGATAATTTTTAACAACGATATACTAGTAAACGAAATTTAACCCCCCACGAATATATGGCTTTTACAGTAATTATGGAATTTTATACTTACGAAAGCGAGATAGAGGTCCCAGGAAGCGTACCAAAGTTGAATACTTCTTCTGATCTTGAAATTCTATACCTTGTGAAACCCAGTCAAATATTGGTATATTCCAGTGTGCCGCTAATAGAGCAACTCCTCTAAGACCTCAAATATATATAAATTAAAAAAAAACTGAAGAAACTTTGGTATTTTTTGCATATTGTTGAAACCGTATCTTACAAATACATGCAATTGCCAATGTTATTCACTCCACTCCACTGTATTGTCAAATGATTTTATTGTCGTAATTTTCTTTGAGAAGGTCTTCCAGGTACAATTAAGAGTTCATCAGTACCACACACACACACCCTCACACACACACACACACACCCTCACACACACACACACACACAGAGAGAGAGAGAGAGAGACTTACTAGCAGGGCATGGTGGTCCAAAAAAGATATTAGGATTAAATGTTTCTCTTGCTTCTAAAACAGCACCTAGGGCCGTTTTTTCGTTGCAGTCTGTATCGTACCACTTTACTCTGGAAGAATAAAAAACTATCATGTACAAGGGTACATGCATGTCAAAGATATGGAAAGAAATAGCATCTTGAAAATAACACCAAAAGAAAGCAAATTAACATAATAAGACTAAGAATTACACTCTTGGTGTAATTTGACATGTAAATAATATTTTGCATCCCTCTAAATTTGTCAAATACATTTCATGGTATTGTAACTGTCGATCCACATTTAAAGGATACATGTACACAGGGATGTATTCACTATAATCATTTTATATGCTGCTAATTACGTTGTTTAGAAGACATAGTATCGTCCTATACAACAAACTTAACAGTGGAAAGATGTACCTTTTGGCAAAAGATAAAAAGCATACATTATTAGATGGGAAGAAATCTTAAATTACACTTACTTTATTGTGGAATTCTGGAGTTTTGCTTCCGATGAATCAGGGGTTTGACTTATGGCAGTTAGGGCAACTTTAAATGCCCCGACACTGGAGGAAGCGCTTAAGTTATAGTATTCCTGACTCGGAGCCATCCAAGCTATACGAAATTCATATTGTTTACTGGACACGACAAAGTAAGTTATTCCGTAGAGGAAAATCAGTTTCAAAATAATATAATTCATAGCCGATGAGAATATTCAGAGGGTTTACCATTCATCAGGTGAAAAAATCCGAAAATACATTTCAAAATTGTATAAATTATAGGTCGTTTCCGCTCTTTTAAACATAAAGTGCAAAGCAAATCTGAAGTTATTGCACTTAAAATAAAAAAAAATAACGCATGAAATTCATTCAAAACTGTTATTCTTCTGTATTTTAAGTAAGGGAAGGTGTCATGCTTGAAAGCACATTAAAAAGATGATTCACAACTTTTCTCATGCTTAAACAGACGGTTGCATGGTACACAATCTTTATACTTGAATTTCTGAAAATCAAACATTCGAATGATATGTACACAAGACATCATTCCATTTTAGATTTGAATTTGAGAGTGCTATCGTCTATCACACTGAACATTATAATTTGAATCGTTTTGAGATGCTTAGTTTAAAAAAAAAAAGAAGAAGGTACGGTTTTAACTTAATGTGCATTTGATATTGTTTTCAAAAAAGTTTTGAAACTAACTCAAATATTAGTTGAGTTAATGCCTTTAATAGATCAGGAAAGAATATGGCATAAGTGGGTACCATTCTGGATGTGTGACGCCATTAATTTGGTGTGTTTCTATATTTTTAAAAGAAAAATCCTCAAAATGACCGATTTCAAGGGTAATTTTCCTTCAGAAAAAAATGTCCTTAGCCGTCGCCCACTTTACTTTTTGGATATGCTGTGTAAAATTCAATAAAAATTCACATATCTAAAAATATTTTTTGGCGATGACTGGCGACAATATTATCTGGAAAATAATTCAATTAAATGGTTAAAAAAAGAAAAATCACAAATTATCTTAATTTTTATAAATAATTCAAACGTACTTTAGATCTTAGTAGAGGTATTTATTTCTTATTACAAAACTGAATATGAACTTTAAACAGCAGGTTCCATAACAGATTTGTCTTCAAATTATCACGCTTGCAGTCGGATCTCCTTTGTTGCATTTTAAATCCTTCTTGATTTTGTCTTAATTATGCATTCAATAATAATTCAATGACATAATCTGAACCAAACGATCAACAGAATTTTAACACATTTTAAACGAGAACCTAAAACACTGTAGTGTTTTAAATACTTCTTCAACAGAATATAAAATATAAACCAAGAGCACAACGTTAATAAAAGAAGTTGCGTTATTAGCGGGAGAAGAGGTTATTCCAAAACGTGCAATATGTGGAAAGTGAGACTAGTATTCGCTGTTGTTTCTATTGGTTGTGTTTTGCCACTGTCTTGGACTTACACCATCAATAACGAATTGAATCTTCATACAGCTTTGTTTTCGGCCACATATGATCCTCACGTCAGACCGGGAACGGATAGGACAAGTCCTCTACAAATAAACGTTACGTTTTACTTATTCAGTATCAAGGAGTTTGACGAGACTATAAGTAAGTTCTCCATTACCGGCGGTCTAGCTGTTTCATGGACTGATGATCGGCTACTCTGGGACCCGTCAAGCTATGGGGGGATAGAGGTCACTGTTGTTCCCCAGAAGAAATTATGGATTCCATATCTCGTCAATATGCTGGACTATAACTCACTAAGTGAAATTGGGCATCAGAATTTGAATGTAAGGGTGGAGAAAGATGGACAGGTAAATTGGGTAACGCCAAATCTTTTTGAGAGTACCTGTGATGCCGATTTGTCTTATTACCCATTTGACACCCAGACTTGTACCCTGAGATTCTTTATACCAGGGTATATGCCCTCCGAAATAGTATTCATGATTAGCGGGCAGATGTATATGTCGGAATTTAGTGAAAACAGTCTTTGGAAGGTGACTGAAACAAAACTATTTACTTTCACAAATACTCTTCTTCTCCAGGAGGCGCGAATGGCTATCACTATGAGAAGAAGACCGGTTTACTATATATCTAGCTTAATTCTCCCCGTTGCTTTCCTTTCGTTTCTCCAACTATGTGTATTTCTGATGCCACCCGACTGTGGTGAACGTGTAGGTTTTGTTGTGACCGTACTTCTAGCGATCGCTGTGTATCTTACTTTGGTTCAAGATAAACTTCCAGAGGGATCAGAACCTAGTGTATCTTTCCTAAGCTACAAACTTTTGGGCGACTTCATGGTCGGTGTTTTTATGGTGGTAGGCGTTGTTATTGGACTGCGTTTTTATCAGAGAGAGGAAGATAAGCCCATTCCAAATTACTTACAAACTTTTCACAGAATTTCCCTTTGTAATTGTCTTTGCTACAGGAGAAAACGGAAAGTGCACTTTGACGAGGGAGACACTGTCAAAGATGTAACGCTGGATCCTGTGACGGAAATTTTAACATGGCGTGATATTGGAATTGCTACTGATCGTTTCTGTCTAAAAGTGTTTGGATTTTGTTTGATGAACTGTAATATTTTATATCTCATTGTCCTTGCTATCTTAGCGTAAAAGAATATTAAAGGAATGTTTTTTAGCTTTGTGTGAATTATTGGTGTGTGAATCACACAGACTTGTCACGTAGGCATATTTCATGAATTCACACACCAATAATTCACACTAAACTTAAAAAAAATTCTTATATAATAATATACATTTTACATGTTTGGAAGCAACTAAAATATACTCAATATTTGAATTTCTCGCTGTCCTTTTACCAGCGTCGCTGCAGCCTTATGGTGACGTCACGTTAACGCACGTTTCTCCGTGTATATTTCTACGCGTGAGTATACACAAAAATGACTTTCATATCAATTTCACAGTTGGCTTAGTAGAAAAACACAGCGAATGTAAATATAATAAAATGTTATTTTTTCTGCAGAATTTCTAAAAAGACAGAAAAAGTTCGACTATAACTAATTGTTAAGTGCGAATTGACTCTTTTTGGTATGATAAAAAGGAGAAAAGGACGTAAGTTCTAAACTCAACAACTATTTAGAAAACAAGTTGCTTTCCCTCAAAAGACTGCAAAAGATGGACTTTGTGTTTTTAACATAATTCTTTAAAACACCATGTTTGTAAAAAAAATCATTCATATCAAAACGTATGAAAAAATAATGTAAAAGTATTTTGTTAAAGTTGTTATAGAAATGATAAAATCACGACCTTAATATCAAAACGAGACTTAGGCCATCTTTTCTTGATTGTTTTACTCAGTATTAGGAATTAAAAAAAGGTCATCCATGTTTCACAATTACTCTATTTGAGCAATGATTTGCTCATGTCGAAAATAAAAGAAAACCAACAGCATTGTTATTTCATGACAGAGAAACGGTAAAACCTCACCAAGGTGCTCTTTTTGTTGAAGTTTGTTTGACATCCCATTGAGTTTTCATTTACATTGAGGCATCACTATTTACCGGCAAAGGGCTGTAAATTTTTTACCTACATGTGTATGCTGAATACTCATGACTAAGATCTTTTGAACAGGGGATTTTTTTTTGTGCCAGTATTTCAACTCGATTCTTATAAGGTCTCGTCTGGAAGAATGGACGCCACGTCCCATAGTGGGATTCGAGTCAATAACTCAAAGATCAACACCTTGTTTCGCGAATCCCGATCAAAACTTCTAATTGGAAGGAAGAACTTACACTATGGCTGCAGAGACAGGCACACAAAAAAGTAAATTATAACATGTATTAGATCAATCAATTAAAACTGTAATGACCACCGTGATGGTATAGCTATGACGTATGTAAACCAATTAATGTGTATCATTTAAATAACCCAAAATTATTTGAAGATTTCTTAAATCATTGTTGATATCTGATGAAAACCTCACGCGTGAAAAACACAATGTACATGTACGTGTAAGACATGACTCTAGACTTCTAAAGATGATAAATCTACAGAGGTCAACAAGTATGATGTCATTGTTACTGTAGAGGTTTTGAGTTTATTATTATACATATGATATAACAAATTGAGGAATACTTATCCCCATGATGTTAAATAAGTCTTTTATGGCACATGCACGTTAAATTCTCGTCGACTTCTTATCTTTCGATATAATCAGTAATTAAATCTGACTTCTTTTGTTTTTTTTTTGGCATAATAAATGACTGGATAGCATAAGTGCAAAACTATTAACAAATATACTATAACAAACTGGGATAGATACGTTCTCGTGTTCGATTCAAAAAAAGTAACAGTAAAAATCGAAAAGAAAGTTTCTCAATTTTTGGAGAGGATGGCAGAAATTTCGCCAAATTAAAAATCGCATTACTTTTGTTTTTATAACCATGAAAATCTGTTCAACAACCTAAATCATTGTGCAGAAGTGATGCAGCTCTTCAAAGAATCCCATTGTAAAAAGTAGTTTTATAGAATACGGTGGAATAATTTAAATTTGTGGGGGTCAATGTTCGTGGGTAAGCAAAATTTTGCTGGTTCGTGGGGACGTAATTTCGTGGGTAACTCTTATATACTGAAGATTCAATGAATAAATATGCTTGTAAAATAAATTTTGTATAAATGTAAATTCGTGGATAAGGGTGACCTACAAAATCCGTGAACATTGGTACCCCACGCACATTGATGATTCCACAGTACTGATTTTATGCATAGAATATTTGACTTTAAGTTTTATAAATCATTAAACCTATTACATGTAGGTCTATGAGTTGTTCAAATGTATGGATTTGAACAAGTTGTGATATGATGCTTTGAAATCATGATTCAATTCTCCAACTTAAAAAATTAAATTTCAATTTCTGGGAAAGTTGCAAAATTTTGTTTCCAAAGCAAAGGTAGAATTTTTTGAACATTCAAAATCCCAC